TTTCATTTTGTTAAAGTCCTCTGCTCATTTTAACAGTTATCAACAAGTCCAGGGAAACATACCAGCATACCACAAAGCTATTTTTTTAAAAACTGTCATGTTCCATTTTTCTTAAAATTAGATTAGATATAAAACAAACTCTCTAGAACCTACTGATGTACTTCAGGTATAAGCTATTAATTGTTGTTTTTCATGTCCTTCCATCAGATGTGATGCAAGAGGCTCAGCTTCTTGTTAGCAGGAGGAAAGAAGGGAAGGAAGCAAAATAAACACTAAATGAGTATCTCCTACTCCCTGTTATAAGCAGGATTTAATTTGAAACTGAGCTTAGTCAAGGAATCTATGGTATTTTAATATCTATGTGGCGATCTACAACAAAGGAAGTTGGACATTGCTTCATTTGTATGGAGAAGCCTGCTAAAGAGAGCAATCCAGTACATGAACAATAGCATTTCCCAAACGCTAAAATCCCTCCTGTTCAGGAAGATAAAAATATGGAATACTGCAGAGGTTCTCAGACTGTGGACTGTAGACCACCAGTGTGAGCTTAATTGCGGTGGCCCACAGCATGTCTGTGAAGAACACTTACAATTGGATCTCAAATTGTAATACAATAAAATTGTATTACATTAAAATACAACATAATACATAAAAGAAGCTATAAAAATCCAGTTAAAAATCATGTAACTCCAAGCAGATCACACTGCAATTGCTTCAACAGGCAGAAAAAAATTAAGTGGTCCACCAAAACCCTCAACAGTGTTTAAGTGGTATGTTGGATAAAAAAATTGGCAACCACGGAAACAGAGCATTCCTATCCTTACAGGTTGATAGCGGTACAAGAATGGTAAGATCAGCCTTGTTCTTATTTTGAGCTAGGGTAAAGAAAATTTCCAGAGATCCTATCCTGTGTTGAATGTTAAAATTTCCACATCTTGAATTGCCTGCAGGAATTTTATGTGTGCATGTAGTTGACAAACCCTGCTTTTATCTTGAAGTTATTAGAAGAAGTGGGCCAGCTTTTCATGGATGTAGATATGGCGGTCAGTAAGGCGATTCCCAGGACTGGTCTTTTTATGAATTGATTAGAGCAACCTTGAACAGCCATGGAATTATTCATTTCTATAGGATTCTCGGGGCAATTAGTCCATTTACTTGGACAGGGCCAACTGCTCAGTATTCTGCCAAGGAGGCTGAAATGTGGGATGCACACAACTAAATCAGGTGCACATGGAACAACTTTCAGGAGCAGAGTGAAACTTCCCCTCCCTGACCTCACCCTCATGTGTGCCCCCCATGCTTTGGAATGGATTTGGGGGCTGTCATTCTGCATGTACAATGATTTAGTTGAAGACAACTTTATATATCTGCCAATCTGAAATAAGACAAATAAAGCCAGGTATATGATTCTTAGGATTGTTTATTAACATTTTCTTATTGATAAGAAAGGATTTCCCCCCGGAAATGTAGCAAGATAGAAATATTGTGCTATAATTCCTTTATGTGATTATGCAGGATTCTCCTTTAGATCCATTGCTTAATTATGGATGCAATCCTGTACCCAGTTACCTGGGTGTAAGCCCCATTGAACTCAATTGGACTGATTCTGACTTTACAGCTCATTCTATCAAGCAAAGCATCACTGAGCACAACCCAGAGGAGACTTAAGTTTATTTAAGCCTTTTAATTTCAATGTGTTTAAAAGTGCTTAATCCTGTGTTGCACTGTGGACATTGTGTTTCAAAACAAGGTCGGATAGTAGATGATGCTATATTTTATTTATACTCCTCTTACATCATGTAAATGTGAAGCTTCTTCCTGAGAGCCACAGCACTCTGACAAGCGCTTATTTTTTTCCTTCTTCGTTTTCACAGCAGCAGCAGCAGCAACAACTAAAAGAAGTTACAAAGTGGTTTGTGGTTTGGCTCTGGGAACAACTACCTCAAAAATGCAGAGTAAGCACTGAGTGTGCATAGGCAATCCCTTGTGTGTTCATAGCGGTTCTGCCATGCCCAGGATTGCCACTTACAAGAAGAAAAAAGGATGATGCAGATTTGCATAATATCTGTATATGCCGAATAATTTATAAAGAATCACTATAATTTAAATAGAAATATGATACATCTCACCACAGAGGGAAGGACTGTGACCAAGGGTCTTGTCTTTCTGCCCAGTCTGCTGAAATGATAACTCCTGAACAGTGATTAGAAAGCAGGGGATTTCTTTTTGGGAAGGGGGATCAGCGGGCCTTTGCTTCAGGGCAGTAGAGTACCACTTAGAGTATGCCCATCCTTTATGCCAGGGGAACAAGAAGATGCTTGCTATATCAGCATCTCCACAGGTGCCTCCAGGAAGCCCAAAGCAAGAGATCAGGACACTAAAGCTCTCCTGCTATTGTTTCCCAACAACTGGAGGTCGTGCATAGCCATCCTTACTAGCAGCTATTGTTAGTCCTGTCCTCCATTATTTTAAAGATCCATTGCGTATTGTGAACAACAGTAGGTGTGTTGTCTCAGGACTTGCCCAGTGGGGTCCAGCCTTTTTGGGCTTGGCTAATTGACCTGAACACCTGCTCTCCACTTCTGAATTTGTGCTACAAGTCAGTCTGACCCTTTTCAGCACCATGAAGGCTCTGCCAGGAGCTTTGCCACAACAAGACAGGATCTTCTGGATTATGGCCCTTTGTCTCATCTAAATTGACAGTGATACTTTAATTAAGATATAATCATAATAAGCTTGCTTGTTTCCTCTCAATCACTTCTGATCCTAGTATCTTTTGGAGAAAAACCTCACTCTGTGGCAAGGTCGTTCACTTTATCCTCCTGCTTCTTAAATTGGACCAGCAAATTTTCTACAGAGTCCGTTTAAATAAGGGTTTTGGATCTTGTGAGAGGATGCATTTTCATTAATTGTAAAGAGGTGTTTTGAGCAAAGTGTGCATACAAATAGATTGTCATATTCATGTTATTTCTAGGCTGAAGTAACTATAAATATCTGCACTAAACATTGCACGCAAGTATATGCTTATTTTTATCTGGTTTACTTGCTTCCGTTAAGGCTTAGCTTGAAGCAGAGCTCAACTTTAGAACCTATGCAATGGAATATCAATATATTTTCATGTGTCTATCTCATGGATGAACAATCTGTCACCCCCTGCTAGCAGTTATTTCAGTCTTGGCTGTTTCTATCCTTCAAGGAAATACAGGAATATAGATCAGAGACTAACTCTCTTGCAATATGGTTTCTGTCTGTGAAATCATGTATTCCAAGTGGGGTTAGATAATTAGATCCTCTTCTCATGAGGATTCTATGGCTGATTTGGCCTGCATTACTGAGACTTGAGTGAGTAAGCTACGTGGACTTGACCCTACCCACCTGGAATCATGATACAGCACCAGGCTAGATGGGGGAGTTAAAGGGGAGGTGTTGCTATTGCCTATAAAAGCAGTATCTTATTGACCAGAATACCTCTTCATCTTCGGACAGGTGTAGAAGGTCTGTACCTGGTGTTGATCCAGAAAGACAGATTGCGGGTGCTGCTGGTCTATCTAACACCCTGTTGTGCAACAGTGTCATTGATTGGGCTGGCTGATGTGGTCTCTTGGGTACTGTTGCTGTTGTCCTGAATGACTTCAGTATCTACGCAGAGGTTACCGCTCAACCAAGTAGAGACTTCATGGCCTCCATGACAACCAGGGGTCTCTCTCAAATGGTCATCAGTTCAAGACATCGGGCAGGGCACACCCTTGATGTAGTCTTTGTCAGCTTCGCCCTTGAGCCAGTGCCACCGACTGGGCTAGGCGAGCTGGGGTAGCACTTCCAGAGACCTTCTTCTGCAGGAACAGGTCTAAGTGCTGTGGACTCACAACTCAGAGCTGTGAGCACCGAACTCACTTCCAGAAGACAGTCGTGCACAGCAGAGTATAGTAGAGCATAAATCACTTGGACAACAGTGCTGAAGAATATCTTCTTTTATTCACTAACAGCTACTGTACTATACAAACTATATGCAAATGGAAATGCTGGACTGCACTGAGTGTTACAGCTGCTTTCTGCAGCGACCTTATCTACACAGAGATAACACTCAGTCTCTCCCTTTGAAGTGAGGCTGGAGCGGAATAAGTACTGGAGCACAATCCGCCCCCTCCTCTCTAGAAAATCAGCAGATTCTTGCAATGGGAGGGGTGAAATATCCTCAGTCTTTAAGTGATATAAGAGATGGACTGTGGAAATGGGGATTGCAATACACACCCTTGTAATGGTTGAGCTATTGTTTGGTTATTTGGCATCCCTCCCCCACACCCGTAAGGAGTGGTAGGCCCACTCAAATGGCCAACACTTGGAGACTGATGGAAACTGGTGTATTCCTGAATGCTCTTGGGGTTTTTTTTCCAGGGGAATAAGCTAGTGATCCTTGTCAAAGCACTGGTCTCACTTTGGAACAATGAGATGAAATGGGTGGTTGACACAGTGACTCCCAAGTGTTGTCTTCATTGCATCCTCTCTGTGACCATCAGCAGTTTTCAGCTGGTGTATAGGTGTGGGAAAGGGCTGTAGAAAGTATGAGAAGTATGAATTAGGAGATGGGTATACTGTCATCTTATGGGAGAAGAAAAAAATGGAAAAGGACTTAGAAGAGAAGACACGTGTGTGTGTGGGTGTGTAGATCACTTGGTCTTCAGGCATAGCTTGAGCATGCTAAAGAAATAACCATGAACAAACTGAAAAGGGCACATTCAAGTTTTGTTGGACATGACATTTTGTGCCTGCTTGAAGTCCTATATTTGCACCAAAGTCATTCGTATGCAAATCCTCAGTACACCTTTAACCTCTTATTAGGTTATATGAACTTCTTCCATTGCTTACCCCATAACCATATCCTATAACATCTTTCTGTCATCTTAAAACAAGATGCCTAGAACAGCGTGTGCAATTATATTGTCACTTCCTGTAGTGCAGTTAGTGCTGAGTATCATTTTTATTTTGCTTATGAACTCTGTGATCTGTCAATACAAAGGAGACCTGGGAGCACTGGTGCATGAAATATGCCCATATATGATGTATGTTAAAGGGCAGAATTCACTGTGGTATAACTGCTTACCTTTTCACCAGTGACACTTATTAGAACAGGTAATCTGTGCCAGCCAGCCATTCAAATTTATATATATATATATTTTTAGAAAGCTCTCTTTTGTTTGGAATGTATGTGGTGTACCATCTTTGCTCTTCCTAGTGCCAGAACACGTGAGTGGAAGGGTGTGTCTGATCATAATTAAAATGTTGTAACTACAAAAAAACCCCTCCCTAACAATAATTTAGGTAAATTATTTATTCAGAGTCTTTTGTTCCAGTTATTTATATGTATATTGTACATCTGTACAAATTCACTGCCTGTTTTATTTCAGAAAAATGAATACAAAAATAGCAGCTTTTAAAAGCTCTTGTGTAAGCTCAGGAGAATCTTTGCTGCAATATCTAACTGAAAAGGTAATGAACTGTAAAATAAGTTGAAATGATTGGGGATTAAAAATCTCTGGTGTGCAGTGACAGTACAATCATATTCCACAGCAAAGGTTTCTTGTATTAAGGGTAATAAATAAAACTTATTTTTGTCACCATGATTAGTTTTCACCATCGTAATGACAGGTTTGACCTTCTTTCTCTTCAGATGTTGGTAGTCTGTGACCAAGTAGTTGGAATGCTGGTGGAAGCTTGGAAGCCCACACATTTAGGAAGGATTAGAAATCATAAAATGGCAATTTATTAAAATTTGGAAAGAGTTGTTCCATTAAATGACAAAAAAAAAACCTCTGCTTGGAAATAGCCCAGTCTTGATGCAAGCTAAAAGTACAGTAGCCACTTAGAAACATATGAGAGAAGCTGTTGATCAGTGGTAAAGCCCATCCATTTAATGCAGAAAGGTCCCAGCCTTGATCCCTAAGAATTGTTTAAAAGGAACCCAGATGGCAGGATCAGGAAATGAGATCTATTGTTGTCACTCAGAGAAGATCATACTGGACAAGGTGGATTATCTTGACTCGGTATGAGGCAGCTTTAGCTATTCCTATACTTAGCATCCTTAGACTTGTAAACCTAAAGTAAATGACAATGCAATCATATAAATATCTACTCAGAAGTAAGTCTCATTGATTTTGGTGGCAGTTACTAGAGACCAGTGGGTACAGTATAGGACTCAGCCTTAATCACAGATCCAGAGTAAACTGTTTCTGGACTGATATTATACAAAAAATAGAGCAAAGAAATGACTGTTCAGCAAGAAGGATTCTAATTTTTCTTTAGAAACTGCAAAACACAAATATTGTGAAAATGCAGAAGTTATTAACTGCTGGATAGTGGCTACCCATACTTATTTTTCAAAATTACAGGCTGTCTCTCCTTCCCTTTCCACCCCCTCAGACATACTATGTCTGGCTAGGAGGCTAAGCAAGTATATTTACTTGCTGTGGAATCTGACCTGTATGACTTTTTATTGTGTTTCTCCTGCATGTGGAAACACTTTTGCTCTTCCTGGAAACTAGCGTTACTTGTTCTACAATGTGCTGAGTTTCTCTTGCTTTAGAGAGCAAGGCGTAGAGCTCCTCTTACAATTTTGCAGTTCCTTTGGGCTATAAAGTATACTGTCCCTCTTGATATCATAGTTCCTTGCTTTATTGAAATAATAGCAAAGGGACAATGAAACTATTTGTACTTCTCTTTGGAAAAACAAAACAAAACCGTATATTTTCTTGTATTTGTTGTACAGAGGAATTGATATCTTATATAAAGGCACATATCTTACCCAAGGTCATTTTAAAACTTTCAGACAAATCTTCTGTAAGTCAAAAGCACTTCTTCTTCTTCTATTTACTTTCTCAATTAAAGGTAAGATTAATTAGAATTAATGAATGTTCATTTGATTATTATTTTTTTAATAAACCAATGAGACTTCAGGGCTGGAAACTCACTTTATAGTAACTTTTGATTAGGGACTGGGAAGGTGGATAATGAAAAAGTGAAACATTGAAATTTGCCTAAATAACATGCTGTTACAAGCCTTATGATAGATATGTGTTTGACTTAACAGCTTTTGGAACCTAATAAAAAGAACTTAATTGACAATTTCTTGAAATTGCTAAGAAAACCTAGTGATGTTGGTAGGGTATAATAAGGAGCTTCTCATCACTGTCTTCAAGATTGAGTCTATACAAAAAAAAAAAAAGGATTTATCTCTGTGGTAACTCTAAGTAATTGATATACAGACAAGGTTTGGTTCCAATTTGCCAGCAATAAAGTTGTAATAGGGTTTTCTCTGCAATTTTAGCCTTAATGTGCTCATTCCAAAGAGCGGTATTTTTCCAAGCGAACAAATAACATCAGTAAAGCTTACGATCAGTAATAGCCCCACACTGATGCTCGCATTAAACTTGTTAAATCAATTCACTAGACACTTTCTAAAGTGGACTGTCTGTTTACTTTGACATGCACCTTGTGAGGATGAGGCCATCAGTTACATTTATCTGAATGATCTTTACAGTTGAAATTATTCAGGTTTGATTGTGGTTGCAAATATGGTTCATAATTTCCAAGCTTTGTTTTTGCCACCTTAATTTTTCCAGGGCCAAGTATTTACTAAGACAAAGCACAGTACGTATGTTGTATGCTTAGTGCCATCCAAATCCTAAATGAGTCTTTTGCTGCATAATTATAGTAGCTTCACCTAGTTGTATATTCAGTATTAATGTTTATTGTACGCACCTCCACGATATTCTGCCTTGTTCTTCTAGGATAAAAAAATTAACATATAAATAATGTAGGATTACAGTGTTTTGAAATAATTAGCAAAATGTGATTGGTACTAAATGAGGAATTATTAAAGATGCAATTTATATGGATTTTCTGCATAAGATATTAGCTTGCAGGAGATCTACAGTAGTTGGTTTGGCGTCAAATTTTAGAGAGTTGATAATTTTAGATTTTTCTTTTCAATTAAGAGGCCAGTCCTATGGCACCACTCCGTTGGCAGTTGCTACACGGAGGTAATACAGTCAAAATCCTATGCGCACTCAGCTGCAAAGTGGAAAGCAAAGCAATACGAGTAGGAACAAGAGATAATGCAGCAACAGTACTCGACACTTTCAGCGCATGCCTGGCCAGTCCAACGTCACCCACTTGTCACAGTGCTACCCATGAGGGAGATGTGACAGCAGAAACAGCATGATAATGTCTTGGATCATAGTTTGCAGCTCCTTCCAGCGCATTAAACAGTGCATGAGCACACTTCTAGCAAGAGCCCATAGCACACTCCTCATCAGATCGCCTCATGGGTCCTGAGGGCAGTAATGAACACACACAGCCTCAGACTCCAAAATTCAGTTCAGACCAGGGTTCAAATCTCCTGGCAGCCAAAATGTAGCCAGTCACCACATAGGATTAAGAGTTTTAACAGACAAAGAAAAGGAAGGAATGGCAGTCAGTCACAACAGCCAGTCTTCTCTATGGCGCAGTAGTTTGCAGCAATAAAATATAAAACCAGGCAGAAGGCCTATTCGGTGGTGGCGCCCGCCCTGTGGAACGCCCTCCCACCAGATGTCAAGGAAATAAACAACTACCTGACTTTTAGAAGACATCTGAAGGCAGCCCTGTTTAGGGAAGTTTTTAATGTTTGAAGTTTTATTCTGTTTAATATTCTGTTGGGAGCCGCCCAGAGTGGCTAGGGAAACCCAGTCAGATGGGTGGGGTAAATAATAATAATAATAATAATAATAATAATAATAATAATAATAATACAATAAAACTGTATAAAAAGTTAAAACCAGACATCAGTTAACCATTAAGGAAGGATGTTAAGCAACTTATACCTAAAACATCAATGCTTGAATTTCTTACTCCTGCCAAGATACTAACAGCATACAAATATGTGTGAGAAGAACAAGGAGTTTGCAAGGGAGAGGAGAGGGTGTCACTTAAGACCCAAGGGATGAGCCCTTCCATTTTATGAAACAAGTATTTTTAAATGGTGATGATGATCATCATCACCACCACCATCAGCTTCAGGGAAGAATGGGTTCACAACTGAGGAAGCATAGGATCTGCATTAAGCCATGTTTAGCTCCCATCCTTAGCATTCTCCCTTTCCTCTTTTCAGTTTGGCCCATTTGCCCTTATTACCAAGAAATAAAATGAAAACCAAAACGGTTGATTTGCAAGCTGAGTAGTATATACTGAAAGAAAGCAGTAGCATTACTGTGCTTGTTACTTCTATCCGAAACGAGTATGCACAACATTCACAGATGCTGTTATCCTGGCTAGAGATCAATTTGGACAAAGGTATATTCTTTCCTACACCAAACCTTAGCTTTATCTTTTTTTTTTAAAAAAAAAAAGAAACTTGTCTGTATTGTTATTACTGTTTTGTACATTCTGAAGGCTAAATCCCTGCAGTAGCATGTAGGGAAGAGCCAGACTCCAAAAGAGTCCAATCTGTTTCCGTACAAGTTTGTATACAAAAATATATGATAAGCATTAAAATTATCAAGGAATGGATTGGGGAATGATAACCATCGCTTTCTGTAGCACCATGGTGCTTGCAATATTCATATGATTATTCTGTCACTTGGCTAACAGCAAGTCAGTGAAACATTTACTGCAGACCCTTTATTTAATAAGATTCAGATTCTTAGCCTGGCCTCCAAACAGCTCTGTCCTTGGGGGACTGCTTTAGCTATATTGGCAAACAGCAAGTTGCACTGTTGCAGGTAAATGGCACCCTACCCTTCCCTATTTAGAGCTATCTAATTCTGTCCCACTTGACATTTCACAGTTTTCCAAACTCTTCCTGTTAAAAATCCAGGACTCAAGTTTGTGCTGATTGTAGATTTGCTTTTCCCAGACTGGTACAGATAGACGAGTACTGGTGGGGCAGTGCTGGTGGAGCCACCAGTTTGAGTAGAAGGAGGGACAATGATGCAGGTATCCATAGGTTCAGGTCAATGAGCTGCTGTTTCAGTACAGTGCATCATGTTATGGAATTGTTACTCTTCCTTTCAAAGTAAGTTATATGTATAACTCATACTTCTTCTGTTTACTTGAGTAAGTAAGCACAACATTCAGTTGTCCCATGCAGCATTTATTTTTTGCTGTTACTATTTTGCAAGCTTTTAATTATTTCCTTACTGTACTTTTAAGGGACTGGTTTTCTCCTGTTTGTCCGCAGGTGTTGAATTAGAAACTAAAACGAAGGTAGATAAATAATGTGGTCTGTATAATTCTCCATGCTGCACAGCTGAAAGTATCTTATCCATTTTTAAGTATCTTACCCATTTTATTAATCCTCATCTGCTGGTCCAAATACTCTTTTTGAAGATCAGTGCACTTCATGCAAGTTCCCATGAAATGCTGGTGGAGCCCCTTTCCTCCCTAATTTTATTTCAAAACTGTAAAATGTATAGGCTTGAGAACACAGCTTTACGAATTGTGGAGTATGGACTTGAGAACAATAAAAACAGCAACTTGCAGAAGCATGTTCCTTAGCTGATTTACATAGGCATCATAAGTATATTTATTTGGATGTATATGTTTCTGAAATTACTAGCACTTATTTTCATGTAATAGATAGGGTGGTTAGGAACGGAGTATACGTCACATTGAGAATATGATGGAGATACTGAAGTTGCATTGACATTCATAGGGCTAGTGACCAGCGTTGCTGTTGCTCCTTATTGCAGAGAAATCGGCATCTGCTTAACCATGTTAAACACATTAATCCAGTTTCCGACAGGGTGCATAGTCTCTGAATCAGCCTAATTTCAAGCACTGCAACTCAGCGTGGTCATTGAATCAGATTGTAAGTCATTAGAGACAAGGACCAAATGAGGGAAGAAATGCAAATGGAAACACAGCTCTTAATTATATAAAGATAGTAGTCCAGGTGTTCATGGTTTGTATGTCCCCATGCTAGTTGGGGACTAGCATGTATATCCCTGCCGTACCTAATTGGAAAAGGGAGAATCCATCAAAACAATCTCTGTGGTGTTATAGGGAAAAAACAAAATGCATTAATCTCTGCAAGAATAATGGCTGGATCTGCAATGCTAAGGTGTACAGCCATTTTGAAAGTGTTAAAAGATCAAAACTCTTCATTATGTTTGACTAGTAGGCAATTTTTGAGCATTTGTATATGAACATTGGGGCTTTAGGGATAAACTGTATCAAAAACTATTATTTCAGCTCTGTCTTATGCAGTTGCCTGATCCAGTTACAGCAATCGTTTGGGCAGAAATGGGTTGGATTGTGGTAAAAAAAAATTAGGCCTATCATCTTTGAACACAAATCCAACCCACCTTTGCCTCCTGCAGATATTCTAATATACACTACTTCAACTTCTGTACAGTTCCCTTTTTCATTAATTTATTTCCAAATGTGTAGGCTCCATTTCAACCAGGTACTCATGGTGTCTTAATGTAATTAATTAATAAAACCAGTGCTTTTTTCCTAAAAAAATTAACATCAGAGTTGCTCTCATTTTCCTATTCGTATTGAAATACTGCTCCTCAATGAGGCCAAACTTAGAGTCACATAACGTTTAGGGGTATGTGTAGCCCTGCATCCCCCCAGGAAAAAAAGCACTGAATAAAATGTAAGTTGAATGTCTACAAATTTGAAACCCATCTGGTTAACCCTCATGTTCAGATGCATGCATGTTGGTCATCAGGATGACATTATTCCCCTTGCTTATGTAGGCTGCTGTCATTATGTTCCCAGATGCCACCCTGTTGCGTCTGGAGTTGATGCGCCTTCAGTTTTCTAGCTGAAATTAAGAGGTACAAAAGGAAATGCAAGTCTCATCAAGATGTATTTTTTTAATCTAGTGATGCTTCCATGCTGACATCACTATACTGTATTATGTATCATTGGTGGCACCAAACACAATGCTTTTATTTTCCCTATTCTTTGTTGTGCAATTGCTTTGAGATGCTTGGCCCTCCAGATGTTTTTGAGACTACAACTCCCATCATCCCTGACCACTGGGTCCTGCTAGCTAGGAATCATGGGAGTTGTAGGCCAAAAACATCTAGAGGGCTGAGTTTGAGGAAGCCTGCTGTAAAGGAAGTGATTTGTAGATTAAATAAATAAATAAAGAACAAAGAACAAACCTTAGGTACAGCTCTTGCTCAGTGAGGAAAGAGTTTAATTATAAGTTCCCGTTAAATTAACAGCAGCAAAAAAAGGACTAGGAAGGAACCAGGCAACTGCACGCCAGACCATATGTCAGGGACTGGACTGAAGGGGAAGGCTGGGAAGCGCCCCCTCCTTCTCCCCTACTTCCCTCAGACGAGGAGGGGGAGTGGGGAGGATCGCCCCCCCCTTCCCCAGAAGTTTCAAGAGAAGAAGGAGACAGATTGAATTGCAGCAGAACACAGAGCTGCCAAGTTATGAAGTGTTAGGAGAAGTGGGGGGTGGAGTGGGAGTATTGCCAGCAGAGACGTCCTTGGAAAGCATAGGAGAGCCACCATCCCCACGAACGCGCCGCTCACTGAGAATTAAAGGGCTCAATGACATTTCACTCCTGAAGCCACCCGTAGGGCCACAGGCTGTTGCTGGGGAAGGAAGGGTAGGAGCTCAGAAGTGAGCAGTGTCACTATGGAGTTAAGGACTGAGTTTTATGTCTAGCACCACTATAACTGAATAAAACCATCAATATGAACTTTCTTGCTTCTTCCTTGATCCTTGATCCTTCCAGGGGAGGAGAGAATCCCCCAAGCCTGACACCATAGTCAGAACAGGACAGAAAACCCTGTGATCAGATGTGTAGAAATATTTGGAATTCATTCACACAGTAAATGTTTGCACGGAACAGGCAGCAAGCAGAACCACAGGCATAGGGTACAGAACATGGATTGCTCTGGGAGAACAGCTTTATTGTTGTTGTTGTTGTTGTTGTTGTTGTTATTTATTATTAGAAAAAGAGGTGCCAGAACTCACCATGAACACCTCCCATGTTTTCTTATATTGCAATAGCTCTCACCTGAGAGTTGCTGGAACTGAGTTCCAGTGAGTTCCACTGAAAAAAGCCCCCATTATTTTTTGTTATTATCCAGTCTTTCACCCTCCCTAAGGCCCCAGGGCAGGGTACAACATTAAAACACAATTTAAAAAACGTAAGTTCATCAAGAAAATTGTGGGTCCTAAAAATACTCACCTTGAGTGTCAAAATCCAGGGTGAAGAGGTGCGTGCTCAGCATTCGTCTGAACCTCTATAATGAGGATGCAGTTCTGTGAGGAGGGAGTTCCACAACGTCAGGGCTGCCACAGAGAAAGCCCTCTCCCAGGCCACCACCCACCGAGCCTCCGCCGAGGGTTGAGGAACTACCAAGAAGAACCCCCTCTGCCAATCTTAGTGTGTGAGAGAGTCTGTAGGGAAGGAGGTGGACTTTCAGATATTTGGGGCCTGAGTCATTTAGGGCAGGGGTCGGCAAGGCTTACCGGGCATGGGCTGGATCACTCCTGTGGAGATGCTCCGTGGGCCGGGCTGGCACAGCGCAACACCGGAAATCGTGCCTGCGCACTGGAAACCGCTTCTGTGTATGCCCAGACGCTGAAAATTGCACCAGCAGAGTAGCGATTTTCGGTGTCTGGGCATGCGCAGAAGTGATTTCCAGAGCTGCGGAAGAGAGTCCCCACGCTGTGCTGGACGGACCGGTTTAGCGGTAGATCTTCTGTAACAGAAGATCTGCATAGAT